TATACCGCATACTCCAACATAGATATCGGTTCAATTAATATAACTTTGGTAATGGGGATAAATTTGATTTGAAACATAGATATCGGTTCAATTAATATAACTTTGGTAATGGGGATAAATTTGATTTGAAATAGCTTTGGGAATAGATAAATTTGAATAGATTTGAAATAGTTTGGGAATAGAGATAAATAGTTTTGGAAATAATTTTGAAAATAGAGATAAACAAACGGGCTTTCAATTTTAGACACTCAAAAACTCATTTGAAAATTGAAACCAAATGAAGCATTAAGCTTGGGCCAATTGGTTCAAAAGCTAAAAAAATAAACCTTTGGCCTAAAAAGTATTATATCAAACTCTTGGTTATAGGAATTGAATCCACAATCTCACAATACCAAACGGTGTTGCATAATCATTAAGTTAAAACCCCGATTCGTTCTAAGCCAATTCTTACTCAAGTTTTTACTTAAATTTTAGTAAAAATTCGTTACATGAACAATAAAGATGATAACAAACAACACTCAAATTTAGATGTAAAAATATGTGTAATAGTAACTTTGTTATTATATGAAATTTGATGTCAAGTTCTCCAGTGGCAAACTCCAATTAAATTTGTAATTTGAGTTAAGAGAACAAAATGTGAAAAAAATGAATTGTTTTGTCTTTATATTTAGAGGTTGAAAATTTACGTTTAGAATGAGTTTCCTTCAATTTGAATAATAAATAAGTAAAACTTAATTTGAGATGAATTTGGACCTAATAATTAGATTTTTTTTTTTTTGTCAAATTTAAATTTGAACCACGGCTAGAGATGCCCTAATATAACAATACTAAATTACAGATATTCACAATTGAAACAAATCAAATTAAACTTTTAAAGTGTATGAACTTGAGCCTTTAAAACTAAGTTAAATTCAAGCCGAGCTCAAGTCAAATCTAAATAATCAAGTTTGACCAGGTTATTTGGCTTAGTAGTTGTGTGGTGTATGGTCTCAAAGTTTAACTCATATAGAGAGGAAATTGATACCCTTTACGGTGGTGGTTTATTTCTCTCTCATTTATAGGATTGAATGTAGTTAATAGTGGTTATTGGGCTTGGGTTTGGGCTTGGTGAGATTGATATATTAGTTGTGACATTGTTGACTTTATGGTTATAGTAAGCTAGTAAACTGTTGTTTGATGAAGTAAATATTTTTTATATTTATAATTATTCTGTTATCATTTAACAAAAAGAACAAAAAAAAAAAAGTTTGAACTCGGCTTGTTTTAGTGTTTAATCCGAAGTTCACTCGAATCAACTCAATAATATAAACAAGCCATGCTCAAGTTCGAATTTGTTTAAAAAGAAAATTCATACCTAAATTAACGTGTACATTAGGGGGGAGGGGGGAATTATGAGCAAAAGATTTAGAAAAAAAATTGATATTATTAATAATTTTATCCACCAAATATAAATTTGTAGAAACACCAATATAAATTTAAAGTACAATAATTATTTACATATTATTAAAAATAAAAAACTAATCTGTATTTCCTTGTACTCGCAAATAAATTTAAAGAACAATAATAAACATATTATAGATATATTATTAAAAATAAAATAAAATAAACTAATCTGCATTTCCTTGTATTCACAAGTCATTCAAGTCAAGTTTGTTCTACTTGAGCTTACCTAGATTATTAAACAAAGTTTACAAATTTGGCTCGAACTCATCACTTAGTAATTGAGTTTAAAATGAGGAAAATGATCCGTAGCTCGAGAAAGTGAGGCTCGAATGGCGCGAATGGTACGGAAAATATTATCTTACCGGTAAGAGAATAAAAAAACATCCTAAAACGACGTCGTTTTGGGATTTTGAGCCACTCGAGCCACGGAAAATTCGAGCTACGAATCGGAACCGTTAAAATGAGATTTAAGTAAGTCATGCTCAAGCTGTTCACTACCCTACATTTATTATATAACATTTATAACAATTATTTGAAAGGACAATATCATTTTTACAAACAATATTGTTATAATATTTATAACAGAACACAGTCTAGTGCGTGTATATTTTGACTCCATTTTAGATTTATTGCAATAAATAACCAGATCAATTTGAATGGTTTAACCATTTTCGAAACCAAAATCAAAATCGAAACAAACATAAACCAGATCAAACCGGCAATTTGGACTAGATTGGTTTGTTTCACTGGTTCCATCGAGTTTTAAGAGTTGAGATGATTATGAAAGTTTGTGGCGGAGGAATGTAATAGCGATAAAGAGGTAGAGCAATGAGAGAAGGAAGAGAGGTCCAACCTTGTGAAATGTTGTGGAATGTAATAGCAACAAAAAAAGTAAATCGTTGAGAAGTAAGAAAGTACCAGTTATATCTACTAATTATCATGCAAATCTTCAGAGAAGAAAAGAACAATTATGTTTGTAGACATAATAATACACGTAGCCATTTAAAATCAATGATAAATAGTCATTAAAACCCGTGAAAACATAAAAATGAAATTTCATTTTCTAACATTCTATATTAGTGGGATTGAATGAATTAATGGATTTTTCTTACAATTTATCGGGAAATAAAATTATTCAGTATTAGTTTTCACTAATCACCCCAATAAAGGTGTGGGATAAGAAGAATTTTTTTGACCATTAAATAAAGAAGAAAAATAATTTGTAAGACTTAATCCAAACAATCCATGAGGAAGTGATATAGTTATTCCCCTCATTTAGTCACATACATGGAATAAGGTTTTCTGGTGGAATAACAATCTGATAACCAAACACTGAATTATCCAACGTATAAGGGTTCTTCTAAACCAAACCAAACCAAATCAAACCAACCCTTAAGTCCCATCAAATGAGGTCGGCTATAAAGGTTCTTCTATGCCTATCATATGTAAATTATGATAATTTATGATATTGATATTCCAAATATTATAACTAAATCACTTCTAGTCATAATTAAAAGAAATATAATGAATTATAACCAAACAGCATATGAGATAAAATAAGAAACTTTTTCAATTATAATCAAAATAATAACTACAATTGTAAGAGGGGCTAATTTGAGCCCACTAAATTATTTAGGCCCAATAGCCCAAGATTAGTGGGCCCGAATTTATCGCAAGTCCAAGAATCGGTGGGCCCAGATTTATCGCCATCAAACGGATTGAATCGCTCTAAGCCTCGAAAGGGTTCGGATCCACGAACCTAGAGACTTACTCGGGCCCGGACTCGAAAGGGTATTAAGCAAGCCTAGAGATCCGAGGCACTCGGACTCGAAAGGATTCGGACCCACGAATCTAGAGATCCGAAGTACTTGGCTTCGAACGGATTCAGACGCAATCTAGAAGTCGCTCCGTTAATGAGTCCCAGAACACTTGCGGGCTCGGAGCTTTCCGGGATGGGCGATAAAAAAAAAAAAAAACTCAAAACCCAAAACGGAAACATATTTTTTGTGTTTTCATTTTTTGGCCAAATTTATAAACTAAGACCATTGATTTATAAATCAAAAATTTTACCAAACAAGTTTTTATTTGAATTTTAAAAATTTTTGTAAATATAAATAGAAAACTGAAAGCGTAAGTATTACCGAACGGCATTATTGAGTTTAAAATGAGATTTAAGTAAGTCATGCTCAAGCTGTTTAAGAACAATTTGATTTGTTCACTACCCTACATTTATTATATAACATTTATAACAATTATTTGAAAGGACAATATCATTTTTACAAACAATATTGATATAATATTTATAACAAAATACAGTCTAGTGCGTGTATATTTTGACTCCACTTCAGATTTATTGCAATAAATAACCAGATCAATTTCAATGGTTTAACCATTTTTGAAACCAAAATCAAAATCGAAACAAACATAAACCGGATCAAACCGGCAATTTGGACTAGATTGGTTTGTTTCACTGGTTTCATCGAGTTTTAAGAGTTGAGATGATTATGAAAGTTTGTGGTGGAGGAATGTAATAGCGATAAAGAGGTAGAGCAATGAGAGAAGGAAGAGAGGTCCAACCTTGTGAAATGTTGTGGAATGTAATAGCAACAAAAAAAGTAAATCGTTGAGAAGTAAGAAAGTACCAGTTATATCTACTAATTATCATGCAAATCTTCAGAGAAGAAAAGAACAATTATGTTTGTAGACATAATAATACACGTAGCCATTTAAAATCAATGATAACTAGTCATTAAAACCCGTGAAAACATAAAAATGAAATTTCATTTTCTAACATTCTATATTAGTGGGATTGAATGAATTAATGGATTTTTCTTACAATTTATCGGGAAATAAAATTATTCAGTATTAGTTTTCACTAATCACCCCAATAAAGGTGTGGGATAAGAAGAATTTTTTTGACCATTAAATAAAGAAGAAAAATAATTTGTAAGACTTAATCCAAACAATCCATGAGGAAGTGATATAGTTATTCCCCTCATTTAGTCACATACATGGAATAAGGTTTTCTGGTGGAATAACAATCTGATAACCAAACACTGAATTATCCAACGTATAAGGGTTCTTCTAAACCAAACCAAATCAAACCAAATCAACCCAAGCCTTAACTCTCATCAAATGAAGTCGGCTATATAAGTTCTTCTATGCCTATCATATGTAAATTATGATAATTTATGGTATTGATATTCCAATTATTATAACTAAATCACATCTAGTCATAATTAAAAGAAATATAATGAATTATAACCAAACAGCATATGAGATCAAATAAGAAACTTTTTCAATTATAATCAAAATAATAACTACAATAAATCATAATAAACACTAATAGGTCATTACCAACGCTAAAATAGATCATAACCAAACACTAATTGAAACATAACTAAATTTCTCTTCAATCATAATCAAAATAACAACTGCAATAACTCAAATAATAGCATAATAAATTATAATCAAGTCATAACAAACAATATATTAATCATAACTAAAACTACAAAAATCGTAACTGAACATATGATAGACCACTTTTTTGGAGTATGTATCATTGAATCTCCCTCATTAATAAGAGCATTTGACCAATATTGATAACAAAACAGAAAATATCATTTGACAAACCAAAAGGAGCAAATAAAGAACCAAATCCAACCAACACAATGATGGTCCCTCTCACTCTGTCCCTCAATATAAATCATAAGGAAAGTCACAATCAACTCGAAATAAAAAATAATAATGATAACGATAATTACAATAAACTCCTTCACAGAGACCCGAAAAACTTGGACAGCCTCTCTGTTACAGACTCTTGCGATTCAACATCATCATCTTCAATATCATCATCATTTTCATAAACCAAATAAATTCCATACTCCTTCAGTTCAAGCCCATTGAAGCGTGGTCTAGGGCTGCGCATTGTCACCTGTATCTTGTCACCATCTTTCAAAATCCGAACAAATGGATTATAGTCATGAAATCGACACAAGTAGAGGTGATCCTCATCTGTATCAGGAATTCCCCTCAAGTCAAGTACTGTTGAATGTTTTGGTTTATCATTATATGCTGGCTCATTGGGTCTGAAGATCTTCAGTTGAATATCCACTATTCCTGGAACTTTATCTCTGAAATCATCCTGGTGCTGCTGGTCAAGAGAGACAACAACAGCTACAATCACACCCTTTAGATCACGGTTTTTCTGAGTTGAGAAACTGGGTATTTCCGGGACAAACCAATCTGGAATTTGGTTCCCTGGAATACCCAAAAAGCGTATATGCCTTAAAGAAACCTGCATTTCAAGAAATATTCCATAAAAAATACTGGCTTTTTTGGTGCTGTTTTCATTTTTTATGTTTCATTTTTCGAGTTTTCGATAACCAAATCTTCAAGAATTCAAAAACATTTTTTTTTTCAGGATTATAGAAAACAACTTATAATCTCTTTTTTTTTTTTATAAAACTTGAGTTATTGTAATTTTTCTTCCTCTTTTTCTTCAAAATTAGTTCTCAAAAAATGTTTGCCTGTGTTTTTTTTGTTTTCAAAAAAGAAAGCTTATGCATGTGCAGGCGAGAGAAAGGGAGAGAGAGACCTTAGTAAGCCCTTTCTTTACTGCTGTAGAGCATGCATTGCAACCAATGGTATAAAACCTTCTCAATGACTTCAGGTATTCAAGGCCAGGAATATCCGTCACCTTCTTGCAATTTGTGAGATCCAGGTCCTGCAAACTCTCCAAATTCGACAGGTTGGGTACACTTTCCAATGCAGTACAGTTTGCAACAGTCAAATAAACCAAACTTGAGGGAAGTGTAGGGAGAAACTTGAGCTGTTTACAATGATTCAAAGTCAATTTTTTTAGAAGGGAAACACCTCTCAGGCTACATGGGAGGCTGCAAAAATTGTTGTGACTAAGATTCAAATTGTTCAGCGAAGTTAAATTCTCAAAATCATCAGGAATTTTGCCAGATAACTTCCAAGCAGACAAGTCCAAGGTTTCCAACAAGGAGAGATTTAAAAATGATGTTGGAAGAACAACGGGTTTGAGATTATCTTGTGCAGCTAAGTCTTCGGCCTCAGAAATTCCTCCAATGTTCTGGGCCTGTTCGGGATGTGAACATTTTGCCATATCCAATATTCTTAAGCTTGAAAGCATCCCAAATTCTTCAGGTAATTCTGCCACAACGGTTCCTTTCATCAGGCAGTAACGCAGACTTGTCATTCTTCCAATGGAAGATGGTAGTCTTCGAAGATACTTGCAATTATTCAATTTCAGCATATCAAGTCTTTCCAACATTCCTATGGATTGTGGTAACTCTATTATTATAGTATCATCTAGAGACAAAGTAGTGAGATTCAACAAGTTCCCGATTGAGTTTGGTAAAGATCTCAGCTCCTCACAATTTCCCAACTCAAGCTTCTCAAGAGCATTCAAGGAGCCAATCTGATCTGGTACTTCTGTGATTGGTGTACCTACCAACCGCAACAATTTTAAAGATGCTAATCCTCCAATAGAATCTGGCAATTTACTCAAAGATCGACAACGTTCAACTGACAACATCTTTAGATGGGATAATAAACCAACAGAAGCTGGAAGTTCCTCAATTGAAGTATAGTCAAGAAACAATTCAATTAAAGATTTGAGATTGCCAATAGAATCCGGTATTGAAGTCAGTAAACCACATCTCCTCAAACTTAATTTCTCAAGATTTGTCAAATTTCCAACAGAATCAGGCACTTCCTCCAAAGCAGAAGAACCATCGAGGTAAAGCTCTAAGAGTGAACTCAATTTCCCTATAGTAGGAGGTAGTTGTTTCAATGACTCGCAATTTTTTAAGCTGAACCTTTCAAGTTTCTTCAGGTGGAATATAGAATCAGGTAGATTCACTATTGCTGTGCAATCAATGTCAAGCTCTCTTACAGATTTCAAGCCACTAAGGTTTTCTGGTAATGCTTTCAGTTTGGAGCAACCATGGAGGATAAAGTTCTCAAGATTTTTCAGACCAGAGACATCACTAGGAAATTCCTCAAGGCTCGAACAATCTTTCATGTTCAAGTGAGTTAATGTACTCATGTCACCAATTGATTCATGGATCTTAACTAGTCCTTTGCATCGCTCAAGAATTAGTTTTTCCAAGGGAAGCATGGATAAATCAGGGATATGTGTAAGATAGTAGCAATCACTGAGATTCATAACAAGCAGCTTCTTGGCCATCTGTCCAAAAAGAAAGTGTTTCTTAATATTATACAATCTACATGCAAGTGCCACACAAAATAGAGGACTAAATAGGAAGCAGTAATTGTTGCAGCATTCTTTAGAGGGCAAAGTTTGGATTGAATTAAGGTTTGGGAATGCTTCAGTAAAGACACCACTAAATAGTAATCTGTAGAACAATGTGTAAAAAAGTTTCAGTTCTCAGATCATCATCTAAATTCAGCCAATTTAAAAGGATTTGATGGCGAATCGTGATGCATACCAATTACATATTGAAATTAATGGAACATAACACAAATGCAGAGTCACATACTATATAGGAATAATGTCTAAGACCATCTCTAACCCTTACTCAAACATTTCATCAAATTTGAATTTGATGAAAAGCGCCTACTTTTAGGGCTCTATGTCATCAAACTCATATCAAATGAAGGCAAAATCAAAACTTTTATCAAATCAAGGGAGCATTTAACCTTTCATCAAATTTCGTAGGTGACCGTTGGTGGACGACAGGCTGGACCACTGGATTTGGAAAGATTTGGTGAAAATTTACTCTAGGCCGGACGACCGGCTGGATTTGATTAAACAATTAGAGAGCATCATATCAGACCAAACTTTTCCTCAAATTTGATGAAAATTTTGAGTAAGCATTGGAGATACTCTAATAATAATATAAAATTTAAAATGCATTTTGACGGTTGATTTTACGTACACAAAGGGTAAATTACACTGACCTCCCTTGAGTAATGATATAGTTACACTTAGCCCCATAGTTTTGATATAAATTTTATTGTCCTCCCTTACTATTAAATTTGCATTACACTTTCACCCATTGCCGTCAACCAGCTAAATGGAAGAGTCATTTTTGTATTACAATACCTATTTTGCCCTTAGTTAATTGAGTATACCCCAAAAAACCACCTGTTAAGAGTGAAAAGATAAAATTACCCTTTCACATCAAAGCATTTGATGCAAACACAACACCTGATCTCTCACCTCTCTCCTTCTCATCCAGCTCACTGAATCACCACCGACACCATTCCCAGCAGCCTCCTTCCCCCAATGTCCTCTATCTCCATCCCTCTCCATTCTTACCTCTTCGTTATATTCCCTCCACTACAACTCATCACCCTCATTGCCTCCACACTGAATCCCCACCACTAGCTCCACAATAACCCCCACCCCAATCTGGTGTTAGTCATTTGTGGAGTAAAGCGCACCATTAACTCTGTTAACAACATGATTAAAATGATTTTGATATCCCTTATACTTACTGACTGAACACCTGCTAGTGCCACCATCTCTTTTTTTTTCAGAGATCTTCCACTAGTCACTGGCACTACAAATATTATCTTCATCATACACTGCCTCCACCGATCCAAACACAACTTTCCACCGTCATTTTAAACCAGCCATCTTCCAAAGATTGAAAATCAACGCCTCAAATTTTCCCTCTATTTTGGCTGATTAAAAAAAGAAACAAAGCCATGACTGTGTGCTGTGAACTATTCTCTCTATTTATTAAATACACATACATATACATATATATAGTGCATCAAGAAATGTTAGAATTGAATAATCAATATCAAAGCCAATATATGGTAATAGTGTTGGCAATCAATATGTTGTTGGAAGAACAAACTCAATTTGAGTTTGGTGAAGGAGAATTCCAGAGAAAAGAAGAACAAGCAAGAGGCTGCTGGAAAGTTCCAAAGAGAAGAAGAATAAGACAAAATGAAGAAGAAGAAGGAAGCTCCATTGATAAACCTTAAGGAAGAAGACTCTGTAGTACACACGGTTTACACACGTTTGTGAAATCTATAAAAAGATAGGTTGTGTGGTTGTTTTAGAGAGAGTGAGAGAAAATGTAATCTCTAAGAAAAAACATAACATCTCCAGATAAGGAAAATTCTAAGAGAGCAAAGAGTTTGAGAGTTTACAGAGAAATAGCTTTGTTTTGTATACAAATTTGTTTGTGATTGAATAAAAGAAGTGTTTATTCAATTTTATTTCCTCTTTTTGTATATCTACACAACCGGTATACACCTTTCTCTCACTTTCAACAGTGGTATCAGAGCTAGAAGAGTTAGTTTTGGCCAAAAAAAATAAAAAAACAGAGACGAACAAAGGTGTTTTCAAAATTTGCCCAAATTTCAAAGTGGTCGAAATCCAAATTTGATCACACCAGGTTGAAACTCGCGACAAGACGAGCACAGAGAAAAAAAACAGCATCAAAAATTGAGCCGAGAGAAGCCCGCATGCGCTTCACGCGCCGTCTGACGCTGTTCCCACGCGCCTTACGCGCCGCACGCACGAACCAGAGGAAGACGACGAGTGAGACAAAGTGAACAAGAGTCAAGTTAAATTATATAACTTTAGAAACATAAACCAAAGGAGCTGTTTGGCAAAGTGGTTAAGTCTTACTCCTCAACCACAATGGCGAGGGTTCGAATCCCCCAACCCACAAGTTCAATTATTTTTTTTGACAAACCATTGAAGCCAAGTCGAGCCGCAAAGGAGCTGCGCCAAGCCGCGAGCCGCTGACGTCAGTTGACGTCATTGTACGGAATTCCAGAGGGAATTATTCCGTGTGACACGGTTGAGGTGCAATCGGTGATCCAAACCGGCCAATCTATTTTGGCTAAATCTAAGCCATCTTGAGCCCAATCACAACAATCCAATAGTCATTTTCAACTATTTGGACCATTCTGGACACATCCATACAGTCAAATTGTGCAAATTCTATACCAAAAATTTGCATATTTTATTTGAAGAGATGAAGTAAGAAAAATATTCTTTGAAGCGGGAGTCGAAGAATACAACAAAAAAGATATCACAAAAAGGTGATAGAAGACATCCCAGATATTGTGGATGAGACAAGCAATGGGTGGCTACTCTATAACGTTGGAGAGATATAAGTTAACAGATGGTTGGCAGGAGTGAACAACATGTGGTTGTTCCGCAAGATAAACACCAGATGGTTGTTTCTAGCAACAAAAGACAACAATTGATTGTTTCGCACAATAGAGAACATGTGATTATTTCACAGACAACTAGGGCTGCAAATGAACCGAGCTATTCATGAACAAGCCCGGCTTGGCTCGTTTAATAAATGAGCCAAACTCGAGCTCGAATATTAGGCTCGTTTAATAAAACTCGGCTCGTTTATCTTTATTTAAATTATATAATAAATATATTATTTATATATTAAATAATATAAATAATATTTGAAAAAAAGTATCGAGCCAAGCTCAGCTCGAGCCCAGTTCATTATCGAGTCGAGCTTGAGTTTAATAAACGAACTCGATAAATAAACGAGCCAAGTTCGAGCTAAGTAAAGCTCGGCTCGGCTCGGCCCGGCTCGTTTGCAGCCTTACAGACAACAAACAACAAGTTGTTGTTCCAAGAGACATATGTCAACAGGTGGTTGACAGTACCGAACAACAAGAGGTTGTTTCGAGAGAGATAGAAGTCAATAGAGTATTGACAACAAAACCAGATAAGAGGTCATCCACGAGCAAATATGAGGCATCATGTAGAGAATCCAACAAATTGAGTTTGAGGGGGATGTTAGAAGAACAAACTCAATTTAAGTTTGGTGAAGGAGAATTCCAGAGAAGAGGAGAACATGCAAGATGCTGCTGAAAAGTTCCAGAGAGAAGAAGAGGAAGCCAAAATGAAGAAGAAGAAGGAAGCTTCAAGGAAGCTCCAATGACAAAACTTAAGGAGGAAGACACACTGTAACACACACAGTTTACACCCGTTTGTGAAATCTATAAATAGATAGGTTGTGTGGTTGTATTAGAAAGAGTGGGAGAAAATGTAATCTGCAGAGACAAACATAACATCTCCAGATAAGGAGAATTCTAAGAGAGCAGAGAGTTTGAGAGTTTATAGAGAGATAGCTCTGTTTTGTATAATTTGTTTGTAATTGAATAAAAGGAGTGCTTATTCAATCTTATTTCCTCTTTTTGTACATCTACATAACCGGTAGTATACATCCCTCTTCCACTTTCAACAGATGTGTGTATTGATTTTATTTTGGGCATTAAAATATTCACGAAGGTTGACCTGATTTGGAGGGCGGTGGCTATGAGACGGATCAGAGGGATTGACTGGGTAGTGGGTTGCCATGGAATGTGGGAGGGGGTTCAAGGATGGCGTGGGAAGGAGAGGGTCTGGCAGGGTGGGGGCACAGGTGGTGAAGTGATTGTGTAGTTGGTGGTGGGTCAAGGCGGAAGCTGAGTGTTCGAGCCCCGTCAGTTCGGACGGATCCAATAAATACATCAATTTATCTCTCCATTTTCTGTGAAAAGAGAGAATCACCCTACAATCGAATTGCCATGGTTATGGCAGTACACTGTGAAACAGTTAAGGTTGATGGGGGAGCCGAAAGAAGAAAAGAAGAAAATGAAGGAAGAAGAAGGGAAGGAAAGAGGAGTTGCTAATGGCTGTTGTGGTTTTTCCAGTAAATATAGGAGGTGCATTGCTAATGACTAGGGAAGAAGGGGAGTAGAGAGAGAGACAATTGAAAAAGAAGAAAAAAGAAAGGCATTTAAAAATAAAAATAAAAATAAAATTGAAGATGTTTAAAGGGTATTTTCGTCTAAAAAACTAAACTTACTCTCAACTTACATGTGTGGCTCTCAAAAATTGTTATCTTAGATGAAAAAGCTAACAATGCATTTTAGTTCACAAACAACAAAATGATAAGGACTAATCCAAAATGAACCAAACCACAAGGGATTGAAGTGAAATTTGCCATTAAGGGCAAACAAGTAATTTGATTGTTAAAGTTCACTATTAATATATTAGTTTGTGCAAGTGAATGTAATTATGTCATAACTATGGGTTTTATTATATTATACTCATTACTCAAGGGAGGTGAGTGTAATTTACCCTTGAACAAATTAGCGGAATGGGATCAGACTGGACTGGATCTACAACGAAATAATTCAGATATTTAGTATATATTATTTTAGTAATTTCTTAATGCATGAATTGAAGCATAAGTGCCACCAAAAATCATTTGGAAATGAAAACTATTTACTTAATTTTGCTGATATCCATAGGCAAGTTTCCCATGAAGTCTTGGACCTGATACGTTCTGTAAGAATCAAGTCAAGCTCTCAAATTGGCTATTGATAACACTAACCTTGTTCTTGTGCCAATGCCACCACTTGCGATTCCAAATTTGCACCATCTTGCTTTCTGAGAGATCAAGGACAGTAAGATCCAGACGAAAAAACTCAGCAGGAAGAGTTTTTAAGGGGCATCCTTTCCATTGCAGCCACTTCAATTTAGCACAAAAATGATTGAAACTCCCGTCCAAACTCACATGATTAATTTGAAGAAGCCTCAAGTTAACCATAGGTTCAAATGCTTTAGTGCTAAGTATCACATTATTCTCATTTTCCACACAATCACCAAAAGATTTGTTGTATATTTCCTTCCAGTATGCAGTTGCAGAAGCCAAACCAGGCCATCCTTGAAAGTTCATCCAATAGATATTTTTCAAGCTTAAATCACAATTCTTCTCAAAGTTGAGGGTGATGCCTTCAATGCTTCTTGTTCCCTAACATTAATCAAGCGAGATTAATTGACTTATGAATGAAAATGTTCAAGAATAGACCAACATAATAAAATTGATTCCATAGCAAAAAGACGTTCTTAACTATAGCCAAAAAAAATATGATGCATGGGACTGCAACTGGTAACCTCTTTTCACCAAAAGTTTAAATTCACCAAGGATCAACAATACAAAATATTTTTGCAGATGATACTTAATGCAAATATACTGCAAAACTATAAGCTTCTTCTGTAGTTTGCAAAGTAGCATTCACCACCTTATTGTGTTAAATTTACAAAATACTCTCACACTATATAACATGGACTCAAATACGAGTATCGGGTGGAGGTGCGTCACCAAATGTCAGATTTTCCTAAGCCTATATCTTAAGATATTTGGATATGCATCCACAAGTTGGGAATGAGTACAAGGACACCTTTTAAACGTTTACATATATTATATATTATATAATATTCTTAGATAAAATGAAGTAAACTATTTAATAATGTAATTCAAATTAAATGAGATTAAGGCCTCGTTTGGGAAGTAGGTTGGGACTAAATTAGCCAGCTAAAAGACAAAATAAGCTAACAAACCAATAAAACAAAATGTCACATCCAAACCATAATCATTTCACTTTCTCTCACAAAACTACAAAAAAGCCAAAAGTTCTTTCCAAACTGAACTTTTTTAGGCAATCTAAAATACCCAAAAACCCAGGCTAAAAAAGTTCTTCCCAAATGAAGGCTAAGAAAAAAAATATGAATTTTATACCCCCCATGCATGTGAAAAGTTTTGTATCTTTACTAACAAATTTGAGTTTCTTCTTCTTCAAACATCATATAAAATTAGAAGATCCAATTATCTAAATTGGATACAGGTGTGGACTCATATCCCACACTCTTTATCTTGTCATATCCAGCAGATAGTGACACGGGTACACTGAGAAGAGAACCAGAAGAATCCATGTAACACAACTCTCAAACCAACAATTATTTCCAGAATTTCCAAGAAAAACTGATGTTTACACTCAACATATAATCCTTTCGCAAATCATAAGTAATTCTTGGTAATAAGCATTCAGCGAAACAACAAATTGACCAAAAAAAAAAAAAGGGAAGAAGAAGAAAAAGAGTTTTTAGAATATGTCATCCATTTTTCTTGTTACTTTCTCCCTCCTAGAATAAACTAAAACAATTTCTAAAAGTGAATTTATCAAATAAAAGGGTAACATGACAGAGAGGGGTTGATGCGTACACGTTAACTATACCATCAAAACCTTCAAATAGAATAAGAATTTAATAAAAGAAGAATGGGATATCATGTTAGAACTGATACCTTCTTATCCTTCAATACAGTCATTATTTTGTCACGATCCCAGAGTCTACTACATTTACCAGGATCTCCATGGCTTTCACGTAGAACAATTTGTCTTCCCATGTCTCCAAGTTGATCATGCATCCACAAAATATTGTCATCTATGATCTTAATAAGAGATTTACCTACGAGGTCAGACATTGCTATTTCAGCCTTAAAACCACAGCCTTTGAAAATGTCAATTGCATCTTCTCTCTTCATTTTCATATTTACAAAGAAACAAGCAATGTCAAGGAATATGCGCTTCACTTCTATATCTAGCTCACAAAAACTGAGCTCTAACACATCTTGAAGTTCACCAGGACGAATTTGTTTCAACTTTTTCAATGCATCTTCCCGTTCTCTTATACTCCTCTTATAAAAGAAAAAAGAACCGAATACTTCCAGAGCCAAAGGTAGTCTTCCTGTAAGCGACACAACTTCCTCAGAGAAACTAATGAGATCTTTGCTAGGTTTCTCTCTCCCAAATGCATGATAACTAAATAGCTCAAGTGACTCTGGAAACGTCAGCTCTTTTACCTCGTAGAATTCTGTCACAAAGTTCTCATGTAGAACTCCCTTATCTCTTGTGGTGATAATGATTCGACTTCCTTCATAAAACCAATCTCTCCCACCAGCTAGTGCATTTAATTGGTTTACATCATCAACATCATCTAGAACAACAAGCACTGGCTCTTTGTGAACGACGTCCTTAATTGACATGATACCACTCCTTACCTCATTTACTTCTGGGGGAGGACTTGATAAAAGATCACCAAGAAACTTGCTTTGAAGAGATGTTAAACCATTATGCAATCGTGAATTTTCTCTAACATTAGGAATAAAGCTACGTCGTTTGAAGTGAATGACAAGTTTATTGTAAAGAGCCTTGGCAAGGGTGGTCTTGCCTACCCCACCCATTCCATAAAATCCCAACACTCGAACACCATTAGCTTTAACATCTAACATGATCATCAACTTTTGAAGGCGAAGGTTAAGTCCAACTGGATGTTTAGCCACTCCCAAGGGAGTATTACTCAATTTAGTCAAAATATTCTTGAGTAAAGACTGGATTAACAACGTTTCTTCCCTGAAAATAATCATGATAATATCAAATTAGCCAAGAGATTGTACCAATTTGAGAAGGAAAGATTGCCAATAGGGCAAAAACTATAAATTTTGATTCTCGAGTGATAAAAGTTGTGATTAAGATGAGATGTTTCCTATCATGTATTCCACCTTGAAAGCAATGGTGTAATTAGCATCAGCATAAAGTTTCATGGTTCATGATATTTTACTCAATTCACATATATACAATCTCTAATAGTGGAAGTATATATAGTTCAAGGTACTGGAAAACTATCTAGCATGTCTTCCAATCAGAAGCACTACACAACTTGATGATTTTGCAATTAAGGGTCAAACTAACTGTAAGATGTACCATTGCAATCACATGATATACATATATATCCACCTATGGCATTGAATCTTTTTAAGTTCTTCCAAAAACAAAATGAAATTCACAACAAGACTAATAGGGTTTATAGCGAAATAAGGCAAGTTGTTTTCCTGGATTATTAAATCCATGGAAAGTATTTAGATGAGGTGTTGGTTGCCAACTTACCATTCTAAGAAAGCTTTTTAACGTCATACACTTGTATGATAACAATGCAAGTATAGAGCTTAGTCTTCTTAAATAGGTTAGGTCAACCAAATTTGCATATCAAAGAGAAGATAAAGATAACAATGATATAAGCACACCAGATGAGCAGTCATTTTGGAATGGCTGTAAAATAAATAAATACAAAAATAAGCCCCTTCAAACAAATTGCTAATAACAAGTATAAAGGGGGAGAAAGTGAGAAAACTAATTAGTGCTCTATGACTAGGGATTTTGGCCCAGTGATCGGTAGCACAACTATGCATTGCGAGGTCATGGATTCAACTCCTATTGATAGGATGTTGATACCTTACGGTGGCAAAGTGGCTGCACTTTGGTAGCTTCAATGTACCACTTGCCAACCGTTATATACACTGTAAAGAGTGATCTATATGCACCACGGGGCATTGCTCCACACCACGTATGGTGCGATATATTACGACAATTTGTGGCCCTTGGATACGGGAGTGGTGCAGAAGGGACCCATAAACGGAACCCACTGAGTCACCGACATAATGTGTCCATCCGTAAGCAGTGTGAAGCACCATGTGGCCTGTGCCCCAAAAGCACCCAATAACTATCCCAAAAAACAAGAGCCGACATTGCACAAAATCACTACCAAGAGCAAACATTGCACAAAATCAGTGTCTAATAACTTTACTTAAGGTAATAGAAACAACAATTGATTTTTTAATGGATGCTCAGAATATTAAAGAAAATGATAGTGGGTCTAATATTTAAATGTTTAGAAGCCATTACAAGAACAGTAAAATACTTATATAAAGTAATAAGAGAGGACAAGCAGTTTATAATTAAACAATTTCCAAGTTGAAACAAACAAAAACTCAACTACACTACTCATTGGGATCCCACAATTATTATATATATATATATATACTACGCCACCACTGTCTATTTTACTTCAAAATGCATCAAATTTCAACTCAACCAACACAATTGGCTGATTAATGCACTTTCAGCTATAGAATCCCTATGCTTTCAAAAACAAATTAGCAGACATAAACATAACAAACACCCAAGTGATACTAAGGTCATCTCTAACATTGCAACAGATTTTTCATCAAATTTAAATGTGAAATTAAAGAAAACGGTATTCTACCCATTTCATCATACTCTAAAGCCCATTTTATCACATAATTCTCTTTACGTTTCTGCACAATTTTTTATAAAAAAATAAAAATAAAAAATCAACTAAAATAATTAATTCCGAAACTGGCTAATACCTCCAGACTTTGGTATCCCAACCGGCAATTCCACCGGCTTTTTCCATAGCTTTTCGCCATCTGAGAACCTTTTCGACTCCGAATCGATCTTCTAGTTTGCGAAGATCCTCTTTAAAAGGACCGGTTTGACGCCGAACGTCGGAGGGATCGACCTCGTAAAACACTGGGAGTAACAACTTCCGACACTCTATGATCTTAGCAAGCTCTTCGAGGCACCACCAGGAATTGGCGTACTTCTCCGAGATTACGGCGATTGCAGCGGCCGAGTCTTCGATCGCCGTCACGAGGCTCGGAGAGATTTCATGGCCGCGAAGAAGACCGTCCTCGTCGAAGAAGGTTCGAACGCCGTTCTGTACGAGTTCGGTGTAGAGTCGGCCAGTGAACTTTTTACGCGTGTCCTCTCCTCTGAAACTAAGGAACACGTCCCACCTGAACCGAAACGACGGCGTAGTCGTCGACCACTCGCTATCACCATCTTCGGCCATGGAGATGTACGAAGAAAACGGTTCAAGGATGTAGAGAATGGGAAATTCTATTTCCAACACACTGATAAATTTAGGCCAAGTTTGTAAAGATAAAAAAAAAAAAAAAAAAAAATTTACTTTTTCTATTTGTATAAGTTAAAATTTATCAAAAGTCAATAATTACGGCTGCACAACTCTCAATTTAAATTTTTTCCTACAAATTAATTTTTACAATTTTTTATTACACATTTTTCAATAAAAAGTCAAAAAGTTAACACAAACATCCATATTTTCAACCTCAAATTTTTAGTCCAAAAAGACAAAAAGTGCACTTTTTTAGTCTTCCCAAACTTGGCCTTAGTCAATTATTAATTAATTTATTTTTTATTACAATTTTAACCTTAAATGAAATGATTATTGAGGACAAATTATGATGCACACTATTTATATATTTACCATAAAAGACAAAAATTAATATAATATAAATCATCAATTCAAACTTGTTCCTTACGTATCTTCTTTGTTAAGAATACAAAAACTCTAAAACCAAAACCAAAAACTCTTCAACAAATAATCAAAAATATGGTATTTTTGAAGATTTTGAATGGATTCAATGAAGGATGTATCTGGCAACCTTGATTCATTTCATTCTAAACAAACATATTTTTTTGTTGTTTTTTTTTTTTTTTTCATTTTCGTCTACTTGCTGAGTGGGTAAATAGTTGGTATAGTTCGGTTAACCAGAGGTGGATATTATATCATGGTTCGACTTATTGCAACTGGACAATATGTATTTATTTGACTAACTACAATCGAACATTATAATGTTCGACCAACAACAACCGAACAAAATGCATTTGTTCAACATACTACGGTCGAACAAAATTCATTTGTTCAACATACTACGGTCGAATAAAATGAATTTGTTCAACATACTACAGTCGAACTATTTTAATGTATTCGGTTTGTAAGATTCGAACTTTATTCGTATATTCCGTTAACAAAAATCGAGCAATTTCATTTAATTCGAGTCTGTACTGCCGAACATTTATAATTTTTTTTTTTTTTTCAGAACAGTGCATCCGTGGAATGTAGTAATGTTGGATATGGGGTTCTTGTTGACTACACGAGTCAATTTATTACTAATGAGGTACTCGCATGTCGAAAATTAGTATTTTTTTCTTTTTCTTTTCGGATGTTTAATGAGTTTGTTGAATTTGACTTGTAGGTTTTCAAGAGTAAAGAAGAATTACTTGGTTGGGTACGGGACGTTGGAAGGAAAAATGGGTTTGTGATTGTCATCAAGACATCAGACTATGGTAGTGGTCATAGGACACCAAGGATATTTCTTGCCTGTGAGAGAAGTGGTCAATACAGAGCTCATAAGAAATTAGCAGGAGATGATTCAAGCAAAAAAAATTGTGAAGATAACGGGTACAAAGAAATGCGGGTGTCCCTTTGAGTTAAGGGCTCGTAAGTTGATGGCTGATGATGATTGGATGGTAGATGTAGCATGTGGAATGCATAATCATGCTCCTGCTAAACATTTTGAAGGACATTCATTTGCAGGGAGATTATCTGAGGAGGAAAAATCATTGTTAGTGGATATGTCCAAAAGCATGGTCAGACCGAAAAAGATTTTGGTTACATTGAAACAAAAGGATGCTTTGAATGTAACCACTATGAAAACCATTTACAATGTACGTCATAGGAATAATGTTATTGAGAAAGCTGGGAGATCACAAATGCAACATTTGTTGGGTGAGTTAGAAAAACATAATTACATTGAGCGGCATAGGTGTGACAACAACACGATGACTGTCATAGACTTGTTTTGGGCACATCCTGTCAGTTTAGATTTGCTCCGTTCATTTCCAAAGGTGTTGATCATGGACTGCACATATAAGACAAATCGATATCATCTTCCTCTTCTTGAGATAGTTGAAGTGACATCCACTGATATGTCATTCTCCGTAGCCTTTGCATATCTCCAATTTGAGCGGATTGATAACTACGTTTGGGTATTAACTACATTGCGTAGTCTCTTGGATGACACTACTATTCCTGAGGTGATTGTCACGGACAGGGAGCTTGCTTTGATGAATGCTATAGACAGGGTATTTTCTACATCTCGACATTTATTATGCCGGTGGCATATTAGTAGAAATGTACTGGCGAAATGCAAGAAAATGTTTAAGAGTAAGGAGAAATGGGACAAGTTTATCTCTTTATGGAATTTCTTAGTACTCTCCTCAACTGAGCTTGAATACAATGAACATCTTGCTAGGCTACTTGCAGATTTTGATACATATCCTGAGGCAGTGCAACATGTGTCACAAAGTTGGTTAATTTCATATAAGGATAAGTTTGTTGCCGTATGGACAGATAGTTGTATGCACTTCGAGAATGTTACAACCAATAGGTAATATATATTTGTCTACCTTATACTATTACGCATTATGATTTTGATTATTTAAACTTAATTATGTTAATTGTTTCCATTGTACACAGGGCTGAAAGTGCACATGCAAAACTGAAACGGCAACTTGGTTCTAACCAAGTAAATTTTGAGTGTTCTTGGACCAAGATCCATAGTTTGCTTGAGTTGCAGCATGTTGATATTAAGGCATCGTTTGAGAAGAGCTTAACCATTGTACAACACCAGTTCAAACCATCCCATTTTAGAGAGCTCTGAGGCAATATCTCTATTACTGCATTAGATCATGTCTTAGCGGAGAGTAAGCGAGCGAATGATGTTGGCATTGATGCTTCAGTATGTGGATGTGTTGTTCGACGAACACACGGGTTACCATGTGCCCATGAGATTGTGGATTACATCCGGCAGGGTCGTCTAATATCACTTGATAGCATTAACCCACACTGGAGGACTCTTGAGGTAGTATAAAAGTTGAAGAATGATAAAGTGGAATTGAGTTGTGAACCAAAGTTTGATCTCATACTTAAGCGATTCAATGCATCTGATTACACTACGCAGTTGGAAATTCTACATAAGTTAGGAGAGTTTGCAGATCCGCAAAGTAGTTTTCTCATTGAGCTAGATGTGAAGCCCAACCCTCGAGGTAAGGGACATAAGAAGATAGATGTATCTACGCGTCGAGACCCATGTGCATTTGAGCTAGTTCAGTCTAGACATGATAGCCACTCACCTATGGGCACCCAGATCTCCACACAAGATTCTGTCAAAGTACATAAAAAACGTCCTGCCAAAAAGTAGGTACATGTAATCATTTTTTACTTACATTTTTATTTATGATAAATTACGTGTTTTGTTGTTCATGTGTTGATGTCTTCCCTGTTGAATAGGTATATCGGACGCGTACAAGTACGACTTATTCATATGTTGATGGCCTTCTAGTTGGATTGAAGCCTTACATACGTCTTATCAAGGATGTAGATACCGATGGCAATTGCGGGTTTAGGGCCATTGCTGGCTTGATGGGGCTTACAGAGGCTGAATGGGGTCAAGTCAGGCGTGATCTCCTACAGGAATTGCACACACACGTAGACCATTACACTCATCTATATGGTTCATATGACAGGATTGAAGAGCTGACCCATATTCTATCATACTTTGAGCCCAATCCAGGGTATCACCGTTGGATGACTATGCCTGACATGGGTCATCTTATTGTATCTTGTTATAATGTGGTATTGTACCACTTATCTACACAACAATGCCTTACTTTCCTCCCCCTACGATCAGTGCCAATATCACAACTTCAACGGCGTGAGATTGCTATTGGGTTTGTTAATGGGAATCATTTTGTCCAGATATAGCATTATGATTTGTGTAATACATTTATCATTTTGTACTGCACCGCTCTCATACTTATAGCTGTGTCAATGTAGGTGTTCATGTTACTGGGTCATCCAGTTCCACCGATAGCCACCAATTGGTGCAAGTTTTATCATTCTTGTGCGACTGGATGGGATACTGCATATAGTCACCGAATTGAGCATTTTAAAGAAGTTGTTCATTCAGGGGTAGCTACTAGAGAGACCTTTGATTGTATTAACCTTGATGAGTAATGATGTATGTGAGTTGAGTTGTAGTGATGCAATTTAAATAGTTACCGATACATTTTTGTGGATTAGCATTTAAATAGTTGAGTTGAATTAAGCTTTGAGTTAATTTAATGCACATGGTAGTACTTGTTCATTGCGGTGTATCAAATGCATTGGCATAATACTTCCTGTTGATTACCAAAAATACAAACCATGAATACTTGTTCGTTACAAAATATTGGTAGATTAATTTTTGTTCATTACAAAACAACAAAAACATCAAAAGAGCACTTCTTTTGCATTACAAAATAACAAAACAAGATTACCACATAACCAACTACCTATCATCTACTCGTCTCCTACGATTGTATGTTCGAAGTGGAATAGAACTAGGTCCAGCCTCATCAATTTGTTGACCTTGAAGAACACGTGTCATCCTCTCAATGGCCTGATATAACCTATCTGGCTCACGAACACTAGCATCATGGCCCGCCTCGATGATAGGATGGGCAATCCGTAGCGCGTGATCAATACGCTGCATTAAGAACAAATACAATTGTAATTAACACATGGCATCTTCAAAAAAAATGTAAACAATGTGTGACCAATACTGTCATACCTCAGCATCCTTCATGTCAGATTGACTATCCTGTGCACGTGGGTCAAAACCAGACCGATGTGTGGGGTTCTGGATATGTAAGTGTGTGATGATTGTATACCACTGCATGTAACCATCAACACAATCAGCTGGACGTCTGACTGGGGTATTCCTCCTCCAAGCAGATAAAACATGATTATCCCAACTCTCCCATATCTGATCAAGATACTAATACATCACTCTATATCGGCCTGCTATCACACCTCTAACAGCACGAACAGGGTCGAGTGGCGCAGGTGGGATGGTCTGGACCCTACCAAACTGTCTAAGAACCCTTTCAGGATGATAGGGTTCAACTACATCCAAACACTTCAAACAACCACTGTAGAATGTGATCTCATGACATGGGTGATGTTGACGGCAATCTCGATATGGATCCCAAGTAACCTAAAAGAGAAACACAAATGAAATGTTGATGTATGACATGGAATGAGAACACTTAATTGAACTAATATTAATTGTTATACCTCATCAAATGTCAATCTGTCAAGCTCCTCCCGTAACGCCTGTAAGTGTGATACCGTTGAACCAGCTTCCCGACGAGGAGTCCATCGATGCACGTGAGGCAATTGTATAGTATATTCCATGTTTTGGTGAGGTCTAAATAGCCGGAAATGCTCATAAATCCATGCCTCCAACAATGTCATGTAACCAGTCATCTGTCGAACAGCTGATCTCGTGGCAAATCCCAACTGTCTATATAAATATGTCAATGCAGCTGCACCCCAAGCATATGTATGAATATCAGTCACATCCATCAACAACTGCAAATACACAACAGGAACTCTCGTCCCACTCTTGTCGCTGAACAGTGTACATCCCAATAGAAATAGCAAATACGCTCTACCGGCACAAACTATGGACTCCTCGGTGTCTGAATCTTTGCAACCACTGAATTTGTTCCGTAACCACTCCATCTTTATTGATTATCCCCTAGTAGATGATAGCTCCTCAGTTGCTTCAACATCATCAACTCCCAATGCAGCTACCACAAGTGCATATGCCTGTTGATCTGTAAAAGTTGCAGCACTAACTGATCTACCTGTGATAGGGATCCCCAAGATGGTACCCACATCATCCAATGTCATTGTCATCTCACCAACTGTCGAATGGAAAGTATTTGTCTCTGGTTGCCATCGCTCAACAAATGCAGAAATGACAATCCTATTCACGAACCGATATGTGCAATGGACCAAAGAAAATAGGCTTGACTACTGCACAATGTCTCTAAACCTTCTATTGTCGGTTCTTGACCACCACCGCCACTCAAGAATCTTACACGCATGATTATAACACCTTAAGGGATTCCTCTCCTGCAAGGTAATTAATAATTAACATAAATAATGTAGTTCAATAAATAACCAAATGAATGAAACATGGTAAAAAATAGTTACTACCTTCTGACCCCATATAGCTGCTGCAATATGTGCCTTGAAGCTCTTCAGTACTGATGGATCTGATGGCCCCCCAAGAAACGGACTAGTGAGTACCTCCTCAACCTAATCAACATCAACAGCATCATCATCATCCCCTGAACCATTATCAATCACATCCTCTTCCAAGATTTGAGGTGTTTCCTCCAACACAATATCATCACCTCGACCTCTATCCCGACCTTGACCTCGACCTCGACCTCGACCTCGACCTCGGGCACGAGCAGGATTTGTTAATGCACGACGTCATCTCTCTAAGGCAGTGGGTAGAATACGCGAAGGGTCATCCATTTCTGAAAAATTAAACACAAAACAATAAAGTTAACAGAAATAACAATAAAGGTAGCAAAAGTAATGAACTTAAAGAGCTACAAATGAACAAGCTTGTAGAGATTTCCAACAGAACAAGATTAGAGGACATTGTTAACACAATCATTAGCAAAGAGAGTTTGGACCCAGTTGGTGGTACTATGACTTTTAGTGAGGTGCTTTTCAATTAAGAACTATGCAGATAAGAGGCTGCAGTAAAGAAGTATGTGCTGTTTGGTTACACAGTTCAAGAAGAGCTTGATTTCCTCTCTCGCAAAAGCATCTCATCACTACTTCATTGAAGAGTACTTTCTGTGCAATACCACTAAAAGTCAACGTACTTCATAGATACAGCTAAAGAAACCATGAACCACTTCAAGCAACTGTAAAGATCTTCTAATGTAAACTCACCACAACACCAAATGGGGCCTTCATATCTTATTTCACCATTTCTTTCTAAGAAAACTTGTGAATTTTAGGTAGGCATGCCTACAGTAGGTTCTTTGTTTAAATTTGAAGTTTTCTTATTTACCTTGTGGATTTGGTGGCTGTCTAGTGTCTTATGAAAGCACCTCAGAACTTTGGAAAAATAAAACTACAAGCACAGGATCAATATAAAAAATAAACTAAAACGGGCATGGGCAAATGCTAATGCCAATAACTTATTATTGATACATTCAGCTCGATGTCATTTGAAGTTAACAAATTGTTACTTAAAAGATCATTTTGTCAAGAAGAAAACAGTTCAAAATGCAACTTTGAATAAAATAATTAAAAACACCATCAATGGATCCCGCGCACCGTGCTACTACAACTTTCACCAAGCTATTTAGGAGTATGTTGCAGATTTTCGTATAAGAAAGTGACATCCAATTTGCAGTCTCTTTTCAAATGAGAGTAGCATATAAGACAAACATACCTAGATGCCATATATTTGCATACATAGACAGCTTTGCAAACTAATCATTTAAAAGAAATCAAAATGCAACAATTATGCTTTTCAACAACAAATCAACAATTCTTGGGACAGAACTGCGACTATCAATTCAGAACTAAGATGAAAACTCTCAAAGAATAAATAGTCAATAATGAATACCTGCCCTCCAGTAGTTCTTGGGATAACAGAGATTGAAGCAATGTCTACATAATATTGGGTAGTAATAAATACATCAACACAGACCTGAAAACAGTGAGATTGAATCACAGAAAAATTATGGATCCATCATAAGTATCAATGAACACCATGGGGAAATTTCAGAACTATATTGAATAGAAAAAAACAAATCAGTCAAACTCCACCTGGTACTCTGCAAGTTCAACAGCCAATGTCTTTAAAATTTTGTCGCTGGTTGGAGTAATTTATGGGCCTCCTAAAATTCAACAACAAACATAATAGTTAAACTTACAGCAAGGAGATGGAAAAAAAGAATGATGGAAGAGAAGAGAGAGACCATGTATGGCTAATGTGAGATACTAAAAATTAGGATTCTCTTCCTTAGTCACGTGTATTTATATTAATATGGTATGACTAAGCAACCAAATGTAGCATAAAAGCATAACACATACCACAGAAACTATATTATAAAGCCAAAATCTCATAGCTATGTTGAACTAGTTTATCTTTATTTTCCAATCTACATTTTGAAGGATACAGATGTACATGAATTAATGAAAATCAACAAGTAGTACAAAAAAATAGTAGGGAAAAAATAAGAAAATTAGAAAATGAGGCATATGCTGGCATGGTTTTCCACAATTGCCATAATTCATCCAATGAATACATTATAGGGTTGGTATAGTTCTTACATTCCCCACAATATGATGTTGGTTTTGTTTATGATCTTCGATGTGATAGTAAAAATCTTCAGCTGGTTGGCATATGTTTTGAATCAACAAATTTTAATTTCTAAACTATATTATGCATAATTGTCCAATGTACACAATTTTCATTTAGTATGTTGTAGATTAACAGAGTGATATAATTCTCTATCTCAAACCCCTTCGATCTTAACAACTTTCTAGCCATTTAAATTTAGCCTCAGATTTCATTGTTACTTGTATCTTGGCCTATTTTAAGTATGAGTATTAGAAATCTCAAGTCATTACAAAGTTGTAACACAGCTTCACATCAATGCATTTCTTCGTTTTCTGTCATTTTCTTTTCTTTTTTCCATACTCTGTTTCTTTTCTAAAATATTATTCTCTTTTGTTTTTCTTTTTTTAATCCATTTCTTTTCAAGATACTTGAATTTTCCTACTAAGTGGCCAAATCCAAAACTTGTTGGGTTGAGTGTGACTCCAATGAACAAGTTAATTTGGCTATTCCATTAGCTATGGGAAGATTTCGGATTTACATTGCTCTTATTTTTTCCCTATCTTCTTTAACTTTGATAAAGCCAATGATTATGACTTGCAAGGTAGTGAAATAGGCCATTCTCAAAGAAAAAGCCAAATTAGCATGCAAGCAATGAACACTTGCAGTGTCCCTTCAAATAAAAGGACCACTCACTAGACTCCCTTGTTAGTTGCACCAGATTTGTATTATTAATATATATACTATTTTTTTTCTATAAATTATTTAATTTAATTAACTGTATAATTTACCACTCACTCATCTACTTCAAGTCAGTTTCAAGTTTACAATTGAAAGGAGGAGCGAGCTCATCCCAATATGGGAGGTAAGGAATGGTCAAGAATTGGTGACCATATGGAATTTTCATTGTTTAATTTCTGGAGGTTGGGATTTAGTTGCAGGAAATGAGAATCATGAGCCTTTTATATATTACTTATCATCTATTCTTTAGAATGAAGATACTGCTTGTTAGTATTTTGTATAGTTATCTAATCCAACAAAAACAATAATGTTAAAAACCGTAATTGATGCACCAACAAACATATTAACTAAACATAATATTTAGTGGGTTCCATGTAAAAAAAAAAAAAAATGTTCGACAGTATTTGTCCGAACATACTGTATATGTTCGGAAATCTACAACCGAACATGTTCGATGGTCACCACCCGTACAAAATTGTGTTGTCCGAATATCAACTGCCAAATGAATCTAGCGTCCAAACACCCAGTGTCGAACGATTCACTCAAATACGATTCACTCAAATACAAACTTCATGCCAATGGAGATAAGTGCATAAAACCCTAAAATAAATAATAACTGACCTAATAAATCTCCAATGTGAAGTTCCAACTGTGTTGAGCAACACCACCGACGACGTCTTGACGAGTGTTTTCAGCAATGGTGTTCACCGGTGTGAATAGAGAATGGAGGGGGAGATGAATATCGTGGGTGTGGGGTGTGTGCTGTGTGGGGGCAAAGATGTAACTTTGTGTGCATATTGTTGTGGGTGGGTGCGTAAGTAAGGGTAAACAAATAAATTTGTGGTGTGTGATGAGAAAATATTTATTTTTATAAATTATTTTTGGTGTGTCTTTAGAAGTGGTTTGTCTTGAGAGGGAAAGTGGTGTGTAAATAGAGCCTCCCTGAAAAATTAGATTAATGACAATTATATCCTACTTGAAATTTACTATAATGGTCATTGATTAACACTCCTAATATTATATATATAAATTCTCTATACACATCTTTTAAAATAAAAATATCTTAATATACACTGTTTGAAACAAAAAAATTAATATTTTTTTTTTGTAGTCACTGTGCTTCTTATACACTCTGTACTCCTCTCTCTTATTTGCAAACAAAACATCTCTTCTATTGTTTTAATCTTTAAGTTTATACTCAATTATTAACATCGTTTAATTATTAGTTCAACAATTTTTATTTGATTTTGATATGGAAGAGTTGCAAACCTATGACAGTTCAAACTCAAGCAATAGTGATAGCAAAATCAGTGTTGAAAAGGTAAAACCGTGGAGTAATTTTTTTTCTTTTTTGCGTTTTTCAGTCGGTAACGCAGTGTCGAATTTACTAAATTAATTCGGTAATACAATTCCGAAATAATATAAATAGTTCGTCACTATAAGTTCGATTTTTTTAATTTGTTTCGATTTTAGTGTTCCGAACAAAATCAATGTATTCGGTACTAGGAATCCGAATTTTATTATTATTTTCGTTCTTTAATTTCTGAATTTTTTAATTTATTTCGCCTCTGTAGAACTGAATTAAAATTTTCCCCCTCCTCTTCAGATGGCATGCACTGAAGAACTTGAGATTCGATCAGATATTATGGTGGATTGTACTAGTCATTTTACGGCTAAACAGGTAATTTTTAACATAAAATTTGTAAGTTCATAAATTTGTATTAGTTAGTTTGTTTAGTTTGTTATTATGAAAGTTATGTGACATCATATATAGGTTTTTGACAGCAAAGATGAATTACTCACTTGGGTACGAGACATTAGAAGGATAAATGGCTTTGTTATTATTATAAGGGCGTCGGACTATGGTGACGGTCGTAAGAGACCAAGAATTTATCTTGCTTATGAGCGGAGTGGGAAGTATAGATTGCGTAAAAAGCTGAAAGATGGTCCAAAAGACTTATTGAGACAAACTGGTACAAAGAAGTGCGAATGTCCATTTGATTTGAGGGTATTCAAGTTGAAAACAAACGATGAATGGACATTGAATGTAGTTTGTGGGCTGCATAATCATCCAGCTGCGGAGCATCTCCAAAGACATTCATATGCAGGGAGATTGTCAGCTAATGAAAAGTCGCTATTAGTTGATATATCAAAGAGCCTAATAAGACCAAAAGAGATACTCATTACACTCAAACAGAGGGATGCCCTTAATATGAGCACAATGAAGACAGTTTACAATGTACGACATCGATGTAGGGTTCTACAGAAAGCTGGTAGATCCCAAATGCAACAACTGCTAGGTGAATTAGTGAAACATAAGTACATTGAGCATCATCGATGTGAGGAAGGCTCTATGACTGTCACGGACTTGTTTTGGGCACATCCAGTGAGTTTGGATTTGCTTTGTACATTCCCTCGTGTGTTGATTATGGATTGCACATATAAAACGAATAGATATCGGCTTCCTCTTCTTGAAATTGTGGGAGTAACATCAACTCATATGACATTCTCGTGGCTATCGCATACTTGCAAACTGAGCGGGTTGATAATTATGCATGGGCGTTACAAACATTGCGTGATCTTATGGACGACAGTGTTTTACCTGAAGTCATTGTCACAGACAGAGAGCTTGCTTTGATGAATGCCATTGACAACACCTTCCCGAATTCTCGACATTTGTTATGTCGTTGGCATATTAATAAGAATGTATTGACAAAATGCAAGAAAATGTTTGAGACAAAAGAAAAATGGGACAAGTTTAACACTACATGGAACTATTTGATATTGTCATCCACTGAAGAAGAATACAATGATCACCTTGCAACACTACATAAGGATTTCAGTAACTATCCGGAGGCAATCAAATATGTTACTGTGAGTTGGTTGAATTCGTATTAAGAAAAATTCATTGCGGTACATACAGACATGTGTATGTATTTTGGCAATATTACAACCAATCGGTAAGATTTGTTTTTTTTTTTTTAATTTTTAATAAATCATATTGTTATTTTTAATTATTATGCTTGACTATTTTGGTTTACATCCATATGAACAGGGTTGAGAGTGCTCATGCTAGATTGAAGAGGCAATTAGGTTCAAGTCAAACGACATTTGAGGTTTCATTTGAAAAAATGCATTGTCTACTTGAGTTGCAGCACATTCAAGTTAAAGCATCATTCGAGAAGAGTTTGACAACTGTACAACATCAATTCAAACCTTCTCAATTCAGAGAGCTCCGGGGTAATGTGTCTATTTGTGCAGTGGAGTATGTGTTAGTAGAGAGCAAGAGATCAAATTCAGTTGGAATTGATGTTGCAACATGTGGGTGTGTTCTTAGGCACACGCATGGTTTACCTTGTGCTCACGAGATTGCAGATTACACGAGACAAGGCCGTCCTATTTCACTCAATAGCATACATGTACATTGGACGCGCCTTACCATATGTGTGCATAATCCGAAGAAACAGAAGTTGGAATTGACTTGTATCCCAGAACTTGAGTTGATTTTAAAGCGGTTCGAAGAGTCTGATATTACCACGCAATTGGATATGTTGAAGAAGTTGAGGGAAATTGTAAATCCAGCCAGCACTTTTCTTATTGGGCTCGATGTGAAACCTAATCTACATCGAGGACATAAGAAAATTGATATATCTTGTCGTCGTGACCCGTGTGCATTTGAGTTGGTTGATGGTGAGCATGATAGCCAAAGCACATTAGCTTCCAGTCAGTCAAAGAAAAAGAGAGCTTCAAAAGTGCATGAGAAGAAGCGGAATGTGAAGACAAAGGCATATCGTACAAGAACAAGTTTACCGAGTGTATATGCTGCTGACTTCCCGTCTATGTTAATACCATTCATAAAGTTGATGAAGGATGTAGATGGTGATGGGAATTGTGGATTTCAAGCTATTGCAGGTTTACTTGGTCTTGGAGAGAATGACTGGGTGCAAGTTAGGCGTGATCTGCTACTTGAATTGAATAATCATAGAGATGAATACGTTGTACTATATGGGTCGCATGAGAGGGTTAAAGAGTTGACACACATCCTTTCATATTTTGAAAATAGCGCAGGCTTTGATCGTTGGATGACTATGCCTGACATGGGGCATCTTATTACATCATTTTATAATGTAGTCTTGTACCACTTGTCATTGCAACAGTGTCTCACTTTCTTACCTTTGAGAGCACTGCCGGCAACCCTAGCTGATCGTCGCGAGATTGCCATTGGATTTGTCAATGGAAATCATTTTGTGCAGGTATAAGTTATGAAAATAACCAAATATTGTTGTCTAATATTTGTTTGTGTAATTACAAATTTTATGTATTTGGTAAAGATATGTAATTTTTTGGATGTATGTGCAGGTGTTTTTGGAAGCCGGTCATCCAGTTCCTCCCATTGCCGTGCTTTGGCGAGTTCACCATCACCCCTGTGCGTCAGAATGGGAGAATGCATATGTTAGCCGCATTCAAAAATTCAAAGACAACATAGGACCTAATGTAGCTACTCGAGAGACATTTGATGCAGTTGACATAGATTGAGGTATTACATAGTAGTAATGAGAGGGTTAGGACATTAGTTTTTATGATTTACTAGTATACAGTAACGAGATAGATAGCATTTTGCCATTGGATTTTGTAATGGTCAGTTTTGTTTTACAAAATAGAATATTATAGTTCTTCAATTTATGGAATGGATGTCATATTATTTTTACATTGTCTGAACACAAAACGTAATGAAAATAATATTAACCAAGTGCAATTACAGTTAAAATGCCATTGGATTAAACAAGTATATAAATAAAATATATATATATATACTAAATAGTAGTTCAATCCATCCGCACTATCACAAACGACATGTCTGCTTGTACATAATTCAAAAGATACATAATTCGAAGATAATAATAATATTTGTCCCCTTATACATCTACCAACATCATCAGAAACTACTTGTGCTAACAGTATGAACTACTATTAACTACGTGACCGGCGAGTGTAATGTGCTCCAAAACGATGTGCAGTGGAAGAGCTGGGTGCAGACCGACCCTGAGTGGATGTGCTGGGCGCAGCTTCACTAATGTGCTGATCTTGAAGAAGTTGTTCGATTGCATCAATTGCGTAGTAAAGCCTATCAGGATGTTCAACACTGTCCTCATAACCAGCCTTAATGAAAGGATGAGTAATCTGATGTATCTGTGACATACGCTGCATTACGAGAACAAATATAACATTATGAACAAACTTGTAACAGTTTACATAAATAATTTGCAATGTAAATGAAAAAAAGGATACCTGTGCGTCTTGGCTAGGATACTGATAATGATGGATATTCGGATCCACTTGAGAACGATGCAATGGGTTTTGTACGTACATATGGGTAATGGTTTGGTATCAATCCATGTAACTAGGAGCACAATCCCAAGGTTGTCGTACCGGTGTACTCCTCCTCCGATCAGATAACACATGGTTATCCCATGCCTCCCAAATGATGTCCAAGTATGCATACATAACATTGTAGCGTGGAGCTGTGGTTCCTCGAGAAGCACGCATAGGGCCAAGTGGTGGATTAGGGATTGCTTGCACTCTGCTAAACTGTCTTAACACTCTATCAGGGTGATATGGTTCAACTACTTCCAAACACTTTAGGCAACTGTGGTAGAACGTAACTGGATGACATGGATGGACATCTCTACAACTCTAGTACGGGTCCCAAATAACCTACAAACAATAAAAACTGTAAGATATGACAACTGTAAATTTTTTATGATATAGAATTTCAAATTTTGAAGGACTTTTCAACTTACATCATGTACACCCAACCTATCAAGCTCCTCTCGAAAAGCCTGCAACTGTGTCTCTTCACAACACTCTCTCCGAGAAGTCCAACGGTAAACATGTGGCATGTCTCGAGTGTAATTCATATTCAAGTGTGGCCGGAATCCATAAAAGTGCTCATAAATCTACCCCTCAAGGAGTGTCATGTAACCGGCTATTTGTTTCACGCCGGACCTGCTAGCATACCCCAACTGCCTATATAAGTATGCCAATGCAGCAGCACCCCAAGCATATGAAGATACAGTCGTCAAATCGGACAACAAACTCAAATAAACAGCGAGGACCCTAGTATATGTCTTGTCACTAAAAAGTGTACAACCCAACAAAAATAGCAAGTATGCTCTACCTGCACATGCAATTCTTTCCATTGAATCATTGTCTGTGACATTATGAAACCGTGCCCTCAACCACTCAAGCCTCACTGAATTGCTTCCAGCAGTAGACATCTCATGTCGGACTTCTTGCTCATCAATTTCCAAGGTATTAACTACTAATGTAACAGCCCGCCTTTCTGACAACTTACGCATGCTAATAGATTTGGCTACAATGGAAAGCCCTAGGATAGTGGCGACATCGTCCAATGTGATAGTCATCTCTCCAATAGTCAAATGGAAGGTGTTTGTCTCCGGTTGCCATCTCTCAACAAAACTAGACACTACAATTTTATTGACAAAGCGGAATGTGCAACAAGCTAATTGTGCAAGTCCTGACATCTCCACAATGTTTACAAATGTACCGTTGTTTCCTTGTTCCCACCATGGCCACGAACGAATCTTAGATGAGTGATTATGACACTTTAACGGCCCCCTTTCATCAGCACCATTCCAAATAGCTGCGGCAACATGACTTTTAAAACTTTTAAGGATTGATGGATCAGTTGGACCTCCCGGAAATGGTTGAGTAAGGATATCTTCATCAACAATGTCAGCATCATCACCAATAGGGTCATCATCCATAGTAATATCATCCATAACTGGTGCCCCATGTATAGGATCATCATCCATGGCAATGTGCATGTCATCATCATGCACTCGAGCACGTCCACATCCACGTTCACGTCCACGTCCACGTCCGCGTCTTTCTAATTCACGGAGTCTTCTGTTCGAAGCTGTTACTGATCGATGTTCACTAGGACCGACATCCATCTGCATAAGAATAGTTGTTCTTATCAACCCAATATAATGAAACATAATAAGCACTCCCATAAAAGGATCACATCAATGCGGGTAAAAACTAGCCTAACCATGCCACCTTAATGAAATCTAATACACAGTTATAGACCATTAAATTCACAATTTGGATGTGAAATTAACTCAAGCTTTTAATACTCTATAAAATGCAATTGTTTTGTTCACCAATTTAGCTAACAAAATTTATGAAGACCCAACTACTAAGCTAACAATATCATGTGAACATACCAATACTGCACAGTTTTTTGTTTCTATTGTTATGCATTCAATTTGGGGGAAAAAAATAAATACATAAACATACCCATAAAATAAAATTGAACCTAAAGTAAAACAAATATTGGTGGCCTATGTAACCTAGTTCTATATCAAAAAAAAAACCCATTCGGCACTTCAGGACCGAACCTACAAAAATATTTCATCAATAAAGTTCCGAAATTAATGCATTTATTCAGAATTAGAGCACCGAAAATATAGAATACATTCGGTTCTGGAACAACGAAGTTATCTATTTTTTTCGGAAGTCAATGGACGAAATTATGCATAATATTCGGAAGTCAAGTTCCGAATGAAAAACATATTTTCGGAAACCCAGTGCCGAGCACCTCCAGTCGCAAAT